TCTTGAACTGGGGAGCCCAGAACTGGACACAGAACTCCAGATGTGGCCTCACCAGGGCAGAGGAGAGGGGGAGGATAACGTCCCTCAACCTGCTGGCCACACTCTTCATAATGCACCCCAAGATACCATTGGCCTTCTTGGCCACAAGAATGCTTTAGCTATTAAACTGTTCCTATCTCAACCCACGCGTTTGGGTTTTTTTTTGATTCTCCTCCCCATTCCACTGGGAGGGAGGAGGAGTGAGCAAGCGGCTGCATGGTGCTTAGTTGCTGACTGGGGTTAAACTACTGCAACACTCAAAAAAATTAGTTTTTTTTTTTTTAAAAAATAGAAATTATGAAATATTATAAAGGATCTTTGATTTTGCACAAGACATCTGGTCTTACATAAAAAGTCAGCAAATTCCAAGTTCTAATCTTGGTATTGACAAGTTGCATAGAAGAATACAATCCTGATGTGCTTGTCATCTGATTTCTTCATGATATATTGCTGAACTAAGTAGCAGCTAAGTTATTAGCAATTAAGGGAATAGTTTAGGAGGAGTACAGAGGAGATGCTCTAACTTTTGATTGTGTCTATGACAGGAAAGATTATAGTGTTAAGTGTTATCCAAAAATCCAAGCAGAACTTTCTTATTGCTTTGGATAAGAAGAAGGAGAAAGAGAAAAGCAAGCTGTACATTATGCATAAAATTAATTCGTCTTTGTTACAGTTAGACTCTAGTGGGAAAGAAGACCTGCACTTACCCAAATGCTGTCTAAAGTTACACTGTACTGAAGCTAGTGCAATTGCTTGAGCATGACTGAAAATAGAATTTAGGATTTGTTTGTTTGGGTTTTTTTTGAGATGGTTCAGTTTTAAGCAAGAAGTTGTTATCCTAAGTTTGTTGCGTTTAGTGGTTTGGTTTTGTTTTGTTTTCCAGTGGGAGAACAGAGGTCCAGTCTGTGCAGTATGGTAAAGAAAGAGCAAACAAAGACAGAGTATTTGCAAGGTAAGCAATTTACATTTGTACAGGATCAATAAGTCTGCTGTTTGTACCTTTTAAGATGTTATGGGATCATTGTTTTCTGTTTGCAAAAATGAAAATAAAAAGCAACTGTTGTCGACTGTTGCTGGTGGCTTGACTAAACCATATTAAGGAGTTTAATTTTGATATCGGAGAGTATTTCTTTGGGGCAGCCAGAAATGGGGGAGAATCTTATGATGGAAAAGTTAATAAGGGTATTCTTTAATATTTCCCCTTTTATGTGTTTTCAAAATTCAGAATTGCCTTCCATCTGTGCAGTTTGTTGTTACACGTACTAGCCGTTTTTGTGGTATCTTTATTGCAAAGAATGGTTTCTTTAACTGTTCCATTAAAATATTGGGTTATTGGGTGTGTTTTATCCCTCATAACAACCTACAACTGTACACACATAGTTCCTTTAGAATAAGGTACTGTGAATGTCCGACTTGGTGAGCATGGCTTTATCACTATAGTCCCAATGAAGTATTTTACTATGAAAAATTTGACTGGGAGTAAGCTGCTTCTGAACGTATTCTGTCGCAAAGGAGATTGCTAATCATAGAATCTGTTACTTAATTGTGTTTCAGATTCCTGAGGGGTTTAGCGATTACAAGAAAACAGTCAAGACAGAGCTTTAGTTCTTAATTCAGAAATTATGATACAGTATTCAAAAGTAAAACTGCTGCTGCATCCTTTTGGCAGTCTGCTCTGATCATTAATAGAAAGAATCCTTGGGAGCAGGGAGCATGCTTTGTGCTTTTTTTATGCTTATACTTTTACTGAAATGGGGAATGTCTTTCAGCATCGTTACCCCTTAAGGAACTCTGGAGTTCAAATTTATGCTCACAGACTTTTAGTAACAAGCCCAGCAACCTTTCTCAAGTACCTGCAAACACTGTTTTTCAGAGCATTGGTGAATTGTGCCTTGATTTCCTGCCCTCCCCACTGCCTTTCCCCCTGTGCAATGTGATATAATTTGAGTTTTTAGCTGGGCACACCGTAGATACCCAGCTCAGTATTAGAAGGATTTGAGGGCACAAGTGCTGTGGCATGTTTGTTCAACAGGTAGACTTTTGTAAGACCAATTTGTTCCGTGTGCTGTAGAATTATTTTTTATTCTATTTTATTTACTTTGGGAGTCTGGTTATATCTTTTACTTGGGGCAACTTTAGTACTCGGAAGACTCAACACTGTGACAGCTGAGTTTTATTTATTTAAATAACAGTTACGAATCAGTTAACTATTTTTCTTGTTGCACTTTGAACTTGGCAATTCCCCACAAGTAAGTATGGTGAAGGACAGCTGATACTTGGTTTTGAGGAGTATATTTATCATTTTAGAAACTCTTATTCAGTAGATGGCAGTCTTCCCTTTGAGTCAAAACTGAACAACTGGTGCAGGGGTCACTTGTATTTTGTAATATATACTCTGGATAAAATTGAAAGCCATGGCTAGAATTGCTCTGATATTTTCAAGTATTTTTGTCTTTTTTTAGTTAATAAAATACTTGGCTCTTCTGTCCCCAGTAATTTTATTTTCCACTGTTGCTTTTAGTTTAAGGAACACAGCATTCATCCTCGCCTTTTGAGTTGTTTAGTAATGTTGATGACTGATAAATGTCTAAGGCATATATGCGTATGTCAATGAACTGAAATTAATGGCATATTGTATCAAAAACACCTCAAAAGGCTTTTAATAGTGTGCTATTAAGACATTTTCAATTTTTAAAACTTTAGTATTTCCAAGGCTGAAAGAACTTGAAGTATAAGAACACCATGTGGTTCAAGACGCTTAATCTAAGAACTTTATCTTTAATTCCTTGTCTTCTAAACATTTACATTTGAAGTTGAAATGCTGAGTAGATGTTAGCCCTTTTGTATTCATACAGAAGATAAATTATGCTTTTTAAGGTTTTACAGGTATAATGTGGGTTTTGTTCCTGGAACCTGCCTTTCTCGTTGTGTCTTTCTCAGACAGTCATTGTGTTCTTGAACAGCTTTTTAAGCTGTCAAGCAGCAGGCTTGTTTCAGTTGCTTTTGAAAGTTCTGCTAGGTATTGGTTGCCTTTTGCTATGAAACCAGGAGCGTGATAGTGTTACAGTCAAGTCTTTCTTGAGAATTAAATGGACACACAAAAAGATTTAAATAATTACTGTTGCTTTTATTATTACCACATTGGAAAATTCTTTCAAGATCAGTTAAAAAAGATGTTTTCTGTTTTGTTTTGTTTTTTTTTTTACTGGAGCTATCCAGTTTTCTTTTCAATATCTAACTAGAAGCTGCCTTATTTGAGCTAATACTGTCTAAGCAAACTTTTGAATCGTTCTATTTTAAGAAGATAACATTGGTAGTTACACTGAGATGTTATTTGAGTGGTGTATTTGTTCTAAGTTGGGAAATGGTGATTGCCACAAGTAATGATCATCTAGCCTTTGCACACTGAGCAGAACATAGAGAGCACAAGACATGAAAATAAAATTTCTTAGCAGCCATTTGGATAAAACAAGCAGCCTACAATTAGCAGACTTAGCTGTTTATCCTCATGATCTTACTTGAAAATTAGCTGAAGTACTATTCATGGTATTCATAGTATTCATAGTATTCATTTCTTCTTCTCAAATCATAAAAATATTTTAAAATTACTTTTAAAATGGAATCAATTACTGTGAAGGAGATGGTCCGTAATAAATTTGATAATTTTGTTGATGCTGTTTTCTTAATCTTCATGCAGCACTAATTTCAGCATTTAGAAGACTGCTGCAGTTGTTCAGTGTCTGTCTACTCTTTTCTTTACAGCTATTCTCTTGGCCTCATTTGTTGCAGGATATTCACAATCCAAGAAAACCCATAAGAATTCCCAGGAGCATAATAAAAGTGAAAGTAGATAATAAAAGTGAAAAAAGTTTGATCAAGTAATGAATTGACAGATTTCTTAAAGAGCACTGCTCTCTCTTAGAGTCCTTGCAAATATTCTAATTCTGTTCAGTTCTGATGGTGTGTACTGGAGCAGAGCGAAGGTACTTTATGCGCATTGTGTGATAGTGAGTGTGTATCTCAGTCATTTGTATTTGCAAACTCCCTAACATTAAGTTGCAATTTCTGTTTCCAAAAATCCACTCTTGCTTCAACCATGCATTTATTCAAGTTAATTAAATAATTCTGCTCTTGCTTTAAACTGCATATGTCATTTGTGGTGTATCTGCCGATTTGTATACAGTTTCGGTCTCGGTCTGAAACAGTAGTGGCTAGTTTTGCTGAGAAACGCATTCTCTGTACTCCTTGTCAATATACAAAGCAAGGCTGTGGCCCAGGTTATATTTCTTTTGGGGACAGAAATGATTTAAAAGATTCCCACCTGTATTCCCAAACAATACCCTCTTTCTTCTGCAGCTCCTGTGAGAACTTAGCACTTCAGCTGTGGGACAGAAAGCAAATTCTATCTTCAAAAGCTTTTGTGTACTGTAGCTGAGCTAATATAATTTGTGTTGTGCTTTTTTTTTTGTTGCATTATGTAATATCATCCCTGCCACTTGTTTTTTTTATTATTATTTGATGTAGCATCGCAGCTTGTAAGACTGTTCTTGATTTGGGGACAGGTAAAGTTTTTGGTCTCTGTCCTTACTCAGATAGATAGGTCTTCTTCCAACTTTTGTAGGAATGTCTCTGCAAATGAACCAAAAGTTAAATCTGAAAATAGTTTACTCAGTTAATGAGAGTGCCCTGTGCTGGGGTGCAATAGAAGCACCTAGACTGAGCAGACCAACATGGAATTTGGAATTTCAAGGTTTATGAAAGTGTTTCAAAAGTTTTTTTACAACTTACTCCCCCCCGCCCCCCCATCTCCTCAGCAGCACTCTGGCATAAGAAAGTTATTTGAGTATTGTAAGGAATTAGTGATACAGGAGAAATTTGTAGGAATATTTCACAACGTATCTTAAATGTTAATAAAAAAATAACTTATTGTTAGATTTAGAAGTGTTGGCAGGAGAACTAGTATCAGAAAGCCACAGCAGAAGTTCAGTGCTGCAGTGTGGTAATTTTTTCTTTGAAATTTCTGCAAAGACAGGAAATGGAGGCAACAAACATGAGTGGGTGGGACTCTGAGGTTAGAGCTGTTAATAAAATAATTGAAACGAACCTTTGCTGATAAATGCTGCAGCTGTTTATCACAGTAGTAAGGTACTATTTCTGAAAGATTAGACCTTATCCACAGTAAAAGGTGAGTTTTCTTAACATTGGATTTTTTTTGATAGGGAAGAAAGTTATGCTTTTCATTTTAGAGTTATGTTCATTTCTTGCATAGATTGAGGAAGTTTTCAAAACTGTAGTTACAATCTATGACTTCAGATACGATGCGGTGGCTTTTTTCTGAAGCAGTCAAGAATTTAATTTTTGGAAAAACTTGGTTTTTTCCCTCCCTACTGTTGTATCTCTCTTTGTAATTTAATTTGTTTTGTACAGGCAAAGAGTGCCTGTTTTCGCACATTTTAAGAAAACCAACCAAACCCACCAACTCTCCTGTAGTCTGTTTGTTGCTTTTTCACTGAAGGTAAATAAGGTTCAATAGCTGCCTTTACATGTCTGTCAAAAAATACTGTATCTGCAGTCCTGTGTTTACCTAATTTAGCATTGGATATATTATGTTCCTCTGCTTTTTTCCCTCAGCCCATTCTTTGGTTTGTGGAATCCACCTCTTGGCAGAGCTGGCTCCTCGTGTTAATCTGCTGGCTGCAAGCATGCTGTCAGCAAAGTCTAGCTAATGATAGCTTTGATTAATAAAGGAATAATGAATGGATAACATTAAACGTGTTTCAGTTCTGCTGTTTTCTTGTTATTGTACATGTTCAGGACTGCTCAAATTTGCCATGTTTGTGAAGAAAAATATGTGAGTTGAGTTGCTCATGTTTGAAGCAAATTACAGAAATTGAAATGTTGGTTTAATTGACATGATATCAAGCTAATTACTTTTGAATCAAATTGATACTGCTTAAAATACATGCTAAGAAACTGGATGTGTTTTTCCTCAGGAATTAAATAATTGATATTTTCCCTGTTTTCAAGTATCAATATACTGTTAGATTATTTTTTTCCCAAGTGGAGTTAAGACTTGAAACAGTATTTAGAATAACCCATCTTGCTTAACTGTCTGAAATTTGTCAGCTGTTACTCAGTAAGTTTTCAGAGCAGCAAAGCAGCATGTTAACACCAATAGGACTTTTGTATTTCTATATGTGAAGATAGATTATTTGATATGACGCTTGGTTGGTTATTGTTGTAGACTCTTTTGATAATATTGAGGACAGTTTGCTTAAGGTGGTGGCTTGCGTTGAGTTCTAAGTTCAGTGAGAAGCAGAAATGTGTTTGTAACTAAGGTTCTCATTTTCAGAAGGATGTAATTTGTGTGCGGGTAGTTCCTTAATTTCTCAAAGTTCCTTCTTTCTGGACTTGCACTTTCAGTAAATCAGTAAGGTGGTAATGATAAGAAGAAGATAAAGAACAGTTACCATGTTTCCCAAGATATGGGTGTATGGAGCTGGGGAAAAATGGAGGAGTTAAGCTGATACAATAATATGATGTCACCTCATTGTGCAAAGCTGGAGAGTAGAGAATAGTGATAGAATATAAAGGCAAATGGGAATGAAATTATCATGGCACAGAAGACTGATGAAATTGAGGTATCACTGGAACAAGAGAGGGTTGGGTAATGTTAGAAGAAAAATAGCACCATCGAAGTAGTAAAAGTAAAGTAAACACCCGGTAACACAAAATACATAGGACATATTTAGGGATTGTTTAAAAGAATTTTTGTTGTTGGCTAAAGAATTTTCAGTTGAAAACAACAAACATGAAAAGTCTGAGTATGTTTTATGCAGGATGACTGAACCTTCCCATGTGATGCTAAGAAAAAAGCAACTAAAATTTTTGGATGTTTCATTTGATGATTTCCAGTATAAAAAGGGAATATACTATTTCTTGAGAGATTGCAAGTATGGTCTCATGCGTGCTTAAGAAATAGGTGAAAGAAACAGCAGAAGGGGATTATAGGTATCCTGAAATGACTAGAGGATGAGAAGAAGTTTCCTCAATATCAAGAAAGGGCAACGAGTAGAAAATACAATTCCTTCTGTGTAAAAACACTGGTGATAACAACCTTTAACCTGAAGGACATTCCTGGCACAAAACCAAATGAAGTTTGGTTACCCACAAAGAATTTTGAATAGGATGATTGCATCTGCCTTACAGGTGACAAAACATGTTCTAGAAGAAAGCATGTCACCTTGGTGGAAATCCCTGATGAGTAAACGAAACCCAGCAGCTCTCTTGCCGTGTTGACGATTACCCCACTTTCAGTTCTTCAAAGTCTGTGGGAGTTTTTTTTTGGCTGATATTTCCTCTGCTTTATTTTTCCTGAGATGGCTGAATAGTTGTGTTACTTAGAGGTGTGTGTTGTTGTTGGTTTTGGGGGTTTTGTTTGTTTTCGTTTGGTTTTTTTGTTGTTTTGTTTTTTCATTTTTAAGTTCAGATCGCTCTGACTATTCTGAAGTCAGATTCTCTTTGAGGCATTAGAAATGTCTAGTGAAGTTTAGTGGGTTTCTCTTCCATCTTGCCTGTCTCCCTTCTAGCCAACAGTATTTCATGACTGTATTTCATTGAATCTTCTTGTACAAAGTACAGAAAATGAAGTACAACATATTGAGAAAATACAGAACTGCCCATGTAAATGTAGGTTTGCATTATTACATTCCCTTTTGTCCATATAATTTTGTTTCCTATGATAGAACATCCACAGTTTCATTGTGGTGAGTTTTATGTAATTTTGTTCTTATGTCATATAATTTTTGGTTAGTCGTTTTACTTTCTTCTTCTAGGTCCCCCAGTAAACCCTTGGCACGGAAATTAATGAGTGGGATGGACTGGGAAGTAGTGAGTAGGAACTCACTGTCTGATGATAGGTTGGAAACACAGAGCCTACCATCACGGTCTCCACCTGGAACCCCAAATCAGTAAGCAGCATTGAATCTTCTCTCCCTAGAAGTGACTGTCTGCCTCTAATGTGAATTACCTACTTATGTAATAAAAGGATTAATGCGTTATGGAGACAAATAACTTCACAAATTGTGTGCTGAGTGGTTCTCTGGAACATTTAGCTCCAGATGAGATAAACTATTTGGGATTGAAATTTAGGTGCTTCTCACTCAACCTATAGAAAGTGTAAGACGGGGCACACTGCCGTAAATTTGAGAGCTTGAGTTTTCTCAAGCACAGTTAAAACTAAATTATTCATTTGGCTAAGAAAAAAACTGATAATAAAATCTGTGTGATATTTTAGAAATAATTGATTCTGGTTAATACCACTTCTTAAAACATTGGGGAAAATTACGTAATCAGAAATCGTTGCAGGTTTATTTGCCTCAATTTTTTTGCATTTGCTTTCAAAGCTCACTCTTTTTGCGTGATAGAGCTTTCTGTTTTATGTTTATAGTTAGTGAAAAATCATTCCTGATCTCTTTTGGAAAATAACCAGTTTTCTCAGTGTGCTGAAACTGGCTTAAGAATTGGTATTACCCAATTTTGTATTGCATAAACCAGGAGGTTTTAAGATTCTTTGGCATTGCAGCAATTATTTAAAAGACTGTTGTTGTAAATATCTGTAGTATTTAAAAATCATTGTAAGAATTGTGTAATAATGATGCTTATAGCATAACATAAGTTAATCATGCATGTTTCAAAGCATTTTAAGGAAGATGCTTATGTCATAATGCTAGCTTTCAAATGGGAAAATTTTGGGTTGCAGAAATGATAAGATTCTCAGTGCAAAGCTTATGATTATTCTAAGAGAAGATGCAGGGGATAAAATGTTCATCTTAATGAATTCAGGTTAAGTTCTGCCACGAACGGAGACAGTATTTTTCTTCCTGGGAGGATTAATTTTTCTTCTCACTGACTGGACTGTCAGTCCAGTAGCCTGTTCATTGGACCATAATGCTTTCAGGCTTCTTTAATTAAAAAAAAAAGAAAGAAAAATATTAGCCGTTCAGTGTTTATGAAAATATTTTTGAGCCCTTTTGAAAAGAAAGTTATGAAATATAGCATGTTGATCTGACAACATAATTGTTTCAGTGATTTTTTTAAACCTTAAATTACTTAATAAAAATATGTATATGAATATATGCTTGCACTGAGAGGAAATAATTAGTTTAGCATTCCTTTGTAATGGGGTAAGAAATGTAGTTTATTATTAATATTCTTTTCACATCACGCTGCTGTGCTTTCGCTCTTAGTCGAAACTCTGCCTTCACTCAAGAAGGAGCCCGGTTACGACCCTCATCAGTTGGACATTTAGTGGACCATGTAGTTCACACTTCCCCAAGTGAAGTATTTGTAAATCACAGATCTCCTTCTTCCACCCAGGCTAATAGCATCATACTGGAATCATCACCGTAAGTTCTGTTGGTCATTACTGTATGGTAGCATGCAGGGCTTCTTAAGATAAGTCAGAAATCTTCACCATTAAGAATTTAGTGTTAAATATTTGGGTCAGGAAGAGCTAGAAAATCTAATAAAAAGGTAGCTGTTGTTTGGGGAGTATTAGTATAGGTCTTATTGAAAATTAAATGATACAGAAGTAAAGACCTGTATCTGATGTGTTTCTAGTGTAGCATTACAATACCTTCCCCACCCACCCAAAATATGGGTTTGGCGTAATGTGACCATCAGTGTCTGGATGTGGAAGTGAAAGTTATTTTTTTTGATAGAACTGGAGTGTGTTGTTTTGTGATAGAAGTTTTTAATTCCCATGAGTTTGGAAATTTTGCTTTTTGTGAAGGCGCAGAAGTATGAGTGAGCTTTACAAATTACTTAGCCAAAATATGTTTTTTAGCACCCCAGCATTCTGAGGTTCCCAGTATGTTTTATGTATTGTTATAGAGTATATTTTTATTTTTTTAAGATAACACTATCAGGCTTTTTTCTGTTATCCTGAATATTCTTGATACTGTAAGTTTACTATGCTATGATGGGCAAAATAAAAATTATAGTGTATTAACTCCAGAAGGATGACAAACCAAAAAAAGTTGAGTTATTAAAAGATTTGAAATACTCAATAACTCGTGGCCAGGCTACAGATAAATTGGGGAAAAAAGATGCACAGTATACGCCTTTATTAACACTGCCACTGTACCTTATATGTAGCTATACATGTAATGCTAAACTTGCCTTTGTAATTTTGTATAAACTCTGTTAGCAAGGAAATTGTGCACGTGGTTTCAAAACCATTTGAGAAATACAAAATAGCACATACATAATTATATGTTTATAAACAAATTGTGTGTGTCAGGAAAAATTACTCTGGGTAGGTATTTGAACACAATTTTAAAACCTTGTTTGGACTGTACCTTCAGTTTTAACAACTGCGTAACTTTGGGGAGGGAAATAGAATACAAAATTTTTAAAGTTTTGTAAAATAAAACAAGATGCTTTTTATGGTAGAGTACAATAATTGTAATTTGACCATCAGGTAGTTATTTAGCTTTCAGAGTTATAAAATGGTAATCTGGCCTAGTAGTATAAAATCCCCCTTTTTTTTGTCGGATTTTTTAACCTGTTCACATGGCTAGGGAGTCTCAAAACTGGAACACTTGTGAATCTTTTTTCATGTTCAAGTTTTGCTTTATAAAGGCCACACAGGGTCAGGTTCCTTCTGTTCCATGACTTCTAACTGAAGTCAGTTATGAGAAACACTGAATGCTAGAGTGATACAGTGAAATAAGCACAATTCTTAGATATTCTTTTATTCATATGCTTTTACTCTAAGTTAAGTTGTAAAAGCTGTTCCTGAGTGTCCTTGGGATTTGTTTATTTAACACCTGATTTCTTGTGTAAGTTACCATAGATATGAGTCTTAAAAAGAGAAGTGGTTTTGTAAATTAGTTATGCAACTGTGGCTGTTCTTCTTCATGATTTTGCACTTTTTATGCCCAAGCAGAAAAACTATTGTTCTTCCATCACTAAGTTTATTTTTTTGTTGTTGTTTTTTCCCTTGTTGGAAGCTTAGAAGTGGAATTTAATCCCCCAGTGTAGATATCTAGCATAAGATATTTTTAAGAATGAGGATGTTGACTGTCAAAAATACATGAACCCCATTAGGGTCTTCTGAAAGTTTTGACGTGCGGAAAACGGGCTCCACCGCCTGCATGGCTGTACCGTAGGTATGTTTATTCGGCGCCGGGCAGCACGGGGGGTAGTCCCGCCAAAGCCGGGCGCGCCGCTCGTGGCGACCGGCTTCAAACTTATACAGGTTAGTGTTACATATACATGAGATTTCCCAACACACCTATACATATGGATGACGTATCCCCGCTTCGTATTGAAATTAGTTCCGAGAGGTCATTTCTACAGACTCCTCCCGATTGCGCCTGCGCAGTGCCTCCTCCTGGTGGTCGTCGGGGGTCGTGGAGATGAAGGCTGATGGCTGCTCTTCATCGCCACTAGTAATCTCTTGATTCAGGATAGGTTTTAACAGGTCCTTAAGGCAAGTTTCCGATCTTTATCGGGGGCTGTCCTTTGTGAGGAGCTGCAAAACTTCCTGCCTCACTTAATTTACAGAATAGTTAACAAATCATTAAGCCGCACCTTTGAGTCACACCTGCTAATTCAATTCCTAGGGCCATACAACATCTTATCTGTTAAGATTCCCTTAACTCCTCTCAGTTTCACGTGATGTTACTGATTCAAGATTTGAGATTTACAAAAGAAAGTAGTAGTCATTAAGTTTGTTAGCTATATGATTTAAAATCATAGTTATACAGTTCAAAAAGCTATTTCTTAAACAATTTGACCTCTCTGAGTGAAAAGATTTGAGTAGCCCGTCTGCTAATTTGTTGGGAATTTTCATTTATTGATCAGATTTATATCTGTAAGAAAATCAGAGAGGCTAACCTGACAGACAGTAGGTTTAGTGATCTCTTTGAGTCTGGGGTCAACATAGCAAAAGAATTTAGCTTTTCAGTGCACTTTAGAAAGATATTATAGCTCAGTTAATACAACCTGTAATTCCACACTTTTTTTCTTCATATACATGTGTTATTCAAAACTAAATTGAGAGATTTCTGCTGGTAGTTCCCTGAGGTATTTATAACCTTAAATTCCAAAAGTACATGCTGTGTGTTTAGTTTAATAAATTTATAGGGGTGTACATGAAACTTTTGCTTGATATATTTAAAAGGTCAGACCGGATATCTGTAACAGAAATACCCAAAGCTTGTCAGTGCCAGGGTTTGTGTGTTATTTTATTATTATGTAAATTGCTGAATGCAGTAACAGAGAGCTGCTTTGCCTGCAAAATAGGCTGCTTTCACTGCCATTGTCTAAGCATTCATAAGGAAATTCAAAGCTGACTGGGCAAATACAAAGCAATGAAGTTTTTGCCCAAGGCTTGATTGTTAGTTCTCACAATTCATTATGCTAATATATTACAGTACTTGCATTGCTGCTTCTAAAATGCTCATTTAAGTAACTTTTCAAACCTTTTCTATAAGTTTGTATGTTTGGTAGGAATTTGTGTTTGTTGACATATATGTCCAGACATCTAGTCAAACATAACATCCCATCTTTTACTTTTATGGAGATCATTTCTTTTGTCTCTCTACTCATGCTTTCTGTGCCTTTTTTATTCAGCTTAAAACTCTTGGGAGTAATTGTTTGCAGGAAAATACATAACTATGTTGCCCTTCACTTAAAAGGCTGAATAATCTGTGCTGGCAAGACTTGAATGAATAAATACATAGGCAGTTAAAAAGCTCTGGGTGACCTTTCTAAGTCATTGTCTAAATAATTTATAGCTGCCTTGAAAATTCATTTTGCAAATATTGGCAATCCTCATATTTTTCTCTGCACAAAAATGAATTTAGAAAAGTTGATTATCCTGAAAAATAAAATACAAGGATGATATGCTCTTTTTTGCTGTCACTTGCATTGAAAAGTGTTAAGAAATACTATTTTTATTCCCTAGTGTGTTTTGAACATGAGATTTTTTCAGACATCAGATACTGAATAATTAGTGCTTTTTTTCTTTTAACACTGCATGAAAAAAATATTTTCTGGAACTTGAAATTAAGCAAAAACATACAGGAAAAAATATTGTTAGGATCTTTTCAAATATACTTTTTCCATACATTGATCAAAACAATTATCAATATTTTGTTTTCTAAGAAAATTGACTAAATTTTTAAAAATTGAAATGGAAAACGTGTGGTTTTTCAAAGTATTCTGTTTCCCATTGAATTTTCATGCTTTTTGACAGAGATTCATCCTTTATTTAAAGTCACTGTAGACAATTGTGTTATGATATTTTTTGTTTTTATTTGAAAACATGTTTCTGGGATCTGCCTTTCTTTAATTGCATAGAAACAGATTATATGATACGGAATTTGATGTGTGCCTTAGGTTTTCTAACTTGCAGCAACTTGAAATGTTATGCTGTGTCATAATGAGAGTCTTACCCTGCTAACAGTTTACTGTGGCTAGACCAGTTAAATACAGTAGGACTATTCATGTGGTTGCCCGTGCTTTTTAGAGGGATGTTACGCTATGAGTTACGACTACAGCTTGCTGATAACAAAAGGGGCAGTATCCTATTTCTGGCTTCTGGGAGTGTTCTTCCCTCCCCACACAGTGGTCGAGCCTGTGATGAACCAGTTCACCTTTTTGAGCCAGGAGAGAGCTACCCAGACTTGTCCGAAAAGTCAATGTATTTCTGCTTGCTTGGTAAGCTGCCTTAGCCAAGGGAGGAGTGCTTCAAGGAAGGGGCCAGGGGTGTGGGTGAAAGAAAGAACGGAAGCACCCGTTTTTGGTGGTAGCATTCTCTTTAGATTTAGCTGTAACTTGTAACTTCATTCTTGGTGGTTTCTGGATTTGCCACTAGTATCGGTGGGCTGTTGTCATAAGTCGTTAAATTATTTAATAATACCTTTTAATGTGGTTCAGGGAGAGGAAGGCATGTGTCCTCGCTGGTATTTAGAAACTGGCATTCAAACTAAGTTAATGGGAACTGTGTGCTAACTGCCCGTTTGGGCCTCTCAAAAATGTTGTTCTTAATTCTTAAATACAAAGCCATATAATGAAAGATGAATCATATATTTATGTAACACAAATTATACAGTTAAGCTTTTATTCCAAAAGGACTAATAAAGGAAATTATCCATATTATACATAAACACAGAGAACATTTCTGTTTAATCTACAGTAGAGTGCTTGCAGATCTAAAACTTTCTGCCATTTCATCTTCAGTAATGGTGTTATAACTCAACTAAAAAAATGCATGCAATGAATGCCATTTTTACAAATGTTTCAAAGCTGCACATATTTCAAAGGGGAATATGTTCAAGAGGAGGAAAAAACAAAGTTCTCTTGAAATGTAAACATATACTTTTAAATTGAAAAATTAAAATTTAACAGTATCATCCTCAGTGGGCTGTTCAAATAAATGCAGGTGGACAGTTGAGTTGTCTTCAACTTGCACTCCTCCTATTTTTAGATCAAAAGCCAAAACCTAGTGTGGGACCACTTTATTATGCTGCTTGTGTCTGTTTTTAAGATTTCAATTGCAAGCATTAATTTAAGATGCAAACTAACTAATTTTTGTCCTGAGGAAAACATATTAAGTGACATACCTATTTTAGAAATATTTTTTTTGCAGGAGTGCAGAGTATAAATACAGTGAATTTTACAATATTCCAGTATCAAGTGGGTTAAGAACACTAAAACCATTTTAAAAAAAAAACCCTCATGTGTAAAAGATAAACTTACTGGTTCCCGTGTACGGTTGCTTGTCAAGAAAAAAGCGGTAACATGTCTAAACGTACACTTCCGATATATTCCACCACAGTACATTGTTGAGATGTTAAAAATACATACAGATATTCAGCGCTCAAACTCTTGAGTTTCTTCTAGCATTTTCAGTTTATTTGGAACCCTGAAAAAACTGTCAATAACTCATGATCATTCCACTTCATACTTCTGTTTTGGTATTTAGATCTCAAGAAACTCCTATAGATGGGCAGCCTCCTGCGTTACCACCCAAACAATTTAAAAAGAACAGTTGGAACCAAATTCATCATTCACAGTCACAGCAAGAACTGGATAACCATATTAATGAAACATTTGATGTTCCTTCATCTCCTGAAAAATCCACAGTAAGTTTTTGGATCCAGTTTAACCATTCTGCTTTTTGTTGGAATGATAGTCCTACTCTTCATGAGCTTGATTCTGATGCACTTTAGAGAGTTGTTGTGTTTATGCATTACATTGCAGCATTTCCATTATACATACTGACTCTTTGCTAGCTCTCTCCATTTTTTCCACCTGCTGGAGTAGTCCTTTTTCAGTTATCAGATGACTACGTTGGGATGGCTATGCAAACATTTTGAACAATAGCTTTTCAGCATATGCAGAAATTTCAAACAAACCTCTTCTTTGAGAAGTCATTTACCATCAATTTTAAAGAAGACATTGCAGACACTACCACTAGTGTTTAATCTAGCTTTTATCAAAAAGCTGAAACTATAAGTGCCTACCAGCTTCTAGAGCAGTTTTGTGAGGAGAGGCTTCTTGAATCTGTGGTTGCTTTTCTCATCAGAATTTACGAGACAGTCCACCAAGAGATCTCTGACCATGAATGTAAAAATCTCAGCAAAAGTTCTTTTTTCTGCACTTAAGCACATGCTAGATGAGTAAGCTAGTCAGTTGATTGTCTGACTGAGGTGAGATCTCACTGTGATTTTTGTCCTTCCCAAAGTTTTCAAATGGTTCTTGGTTTTATACTGTTGTGAGACAAGAAACGTTTTGCAGGATGGGAAAACTGTTTAACATCCAGATGTAGCAAATATTATATAAACAGTTTTGCCAACCTCAGACACTCAAAATTGAGTCAGCTCCCAAAATTGGTATTTTAGAAATGCCTTTGGTTTATTTTTATTTGCATTCCAAACTCTAAGCCTAGGGTGTTCTCTCAGGCCTTGTTACAAAGTTAGGATTCCCATAAAAAACATATTTAATTTCATAGCTGGGGTTGTAATAAAACACGCAAGTGAAACTTGTCAATTTATGAGCATTTTTGGAATGTTGTAAAAAAAATTTTGCTTTAATAATGAAACAGAATTTTTAACTTTTGTCTTCTGTCAGTGCTTACATGAGTCATGTTAAAGTACTGTTCTGTTTTGAAAGGTAACACAACTCATCAAGTTTTTCTGCTCTGTATTCAGTTATCTTTACCAATTTGAGAATATAACTTTCAGGGTTTTTTGGACTGCTTTTAGTTCTGCAAAACCAACACAACTGCATGAGAATAAGATTCTTTTTTCCCCTCTGCATTGTCAATGTGATTGTTTGCTTTGGTCCAATGGGCCACATTTATGCAGCCTTACTTAAGGTAGTATACCGTTGTAATTGAAGATCTAATTTGGTCTGCTGATGGCTTTTTATTTTGAGTATTAGAGAATGCAGCATGGCTCTGAAATTTTGTGAAACTGTAAATTCAGGATTTGGAATCTGTGGGGGAGGGGGTTGTTTTGTTTTGTTTTTTCAAAATTGCTTTTCTGACCAGAACGCGCTTCAGGTTCCTGCACCACTAAAGTCTCCTCTTCTGCTGCTCCATCTCAAGTATTTTAAGGAAAATCCTTCACCATTTTGACTTCATTTAACTATTGAATTTCCTTTGTGTGTTGTATGTGTGGAGAGTCTATTTAGAAAGGTAGTAGGACAGGTATGGAAATGACAATTTTTTTACTCCATCTGCAATCCCCTAAATATCCAGTCTGAGAATGTCCAGAAATATTTGAAAACAGGTGTCGCCAGGAGTCCCTTCAGTCAAACAGGTTAATGATGATATACAGTGCTGTCTTCAGGTTTTTAATTGTAAACTACTGCTCAAAATAGCCTGTTAAAGCAGGAAAACATTATTCCTTTTTTGTCTGGGGAATGCAATGGCACAAAAGTTGCCAAACGCTGCAGGTGAGCACTTGGTTGTTGTTCATTCTGTCCAGGAACCTGAGTCTGGTCTCCTGTGCCAGTGAACATAGGCTAAAATAATTTGCATATGATCAAGCTTCTTAAGCACCCTTCTTTCTCATTAACATATCTTACATGGTTACTTTCCTCTCCTTCCTGAAATTTTTCATCTTTTCGTTACTATGACACTGTTCAGAGGGGTTTGTTTTAACCAAGAGCTTAAAACACCTGGAATTGACATAACTTTTTGTAAACCAAGTTGAGCAGACTTCATTTACCTATTGAAACTACATGTTTTGAACTTTTTTACATATAGAAATGTTTGCTTTAAGTTTTTTTGTTTTCTTCCTTTCTGAATGAGTCTTATATGGCTGTAATCGTTAATATTGAAAACTTCCTTGAAATAAATTTCTTTAATAATACTTTGCATCCTCACTGTAGAAACTATGGAACTAGTAGCTAATGTTCAGTCTGTGAAATAAATACTGGTGGCAACAAACTGAAAGTCACTTCAATGGCATGAAGTTGATTTTTTTTTTTTCCAGATTAAAAGTGTCTAGTATTCCCCTGATTATTAGTAGTCCCTTTAACAGTGGTGGTGTGATCAGAATGAAACCAAAAAGCAAGTAGCTAAAATTGTCAGAGCTTGATCAGTGCAGAGCATGTCTACACCTCATATTCCACTACATTGGAAAGGGAATAGGGAATATGGAACTAAGATTTTGTTGCCAAACTTGTTTGCTTACTACTGTCATATTGTGGTTAATAAAAACAAAAGTATACTTTCAATTTCATCATATTACATGCTTACTGCAGGCTTTTCACTGGGGTCTTCATTAAAACAAATTTAAGGAGTTTCCATTTAGTAAACTCTTTTACTTAAGACTGAAGCCAATTAGTCTTTTCTAATACTATTTCTTACTTTGAGCTTACTTTGACAGAATACACTTTCAACTTAGTTAACTTTTCCCTTTTATGGAAAACTCAAGACATTTGTACTATCACTTGATGTTTTCTCAAGTGTCTAGGAACAATTGATGAGGAAACTGCAAAATTATTACATACAATATCCTCAAAGTCTAACTGTGAACAAAGTACATATTAATATAATATAATTTTTGTTTACTAGCCCAATGGTGGTGTCCCCCATGACAATCTTGTTATGATCAGAATGAAACCAGATGAAAATGGAAGGTTTGGCTTCAATGTAAAGGTAACAGTACATCTATTCCCTTCATGTCTATTAAGATTATTTTCTGACATTTGTGATTTATTACTAATTTAATTTGTTTTTAAAGGGTGGATACGATCAAAAGATGCCGGTAATAGTGTCCAGGGTAGCTCCAGGAACACCTGTAAGTTATCAAAAAAACAAACTTGGTAGCAATATCTGTGTATCTTGAAGTATGTATTCAAAACTGTAAATTATTTCATAGCTGCCTATGAAAATTAGTTTTTGCTACAACATTATCATAACAAAGCAAATTATGTTCAGTAAGAATTTGATGAGGCTACATAATGTTTCTTGAGCTGTGTCATCCTAAAAATACATCTACTCTATTACTTTTTTTAATATAGGCATTCATATAATTTCACATAAATTATATATTGAAAGAGTCTTTTAATATGTTAAAAATAACCAAAATAGTAAATCTCTCATTTTAGTGACAGATGTAGCTGAATAAAGCCAAGATTTAGATTAAAATCAGACATCATGATTTAGATTAAAATCAGACATGGTGAGTCATTCATCAGGTCTGATTGTCGGTTGTTACTGGTGTTTAGTGACTATTGATAGTGCCTTCAAACTAGGCACAATATTTTGTCAGTTAATTGCCAAAAATACTGACCTGGTATTCAGCTGACGAGTCAGCTCTGTTTATACCTTTTAGTGTGAACTGTGTATTTGCGAATGTTTAAGCAGTACGGCTTGCTTTTTCTTTTGACTATTTGAAACTATTAAAATGTTTGCCAAGAGCATTGTTCTTGTCCCTGTTAATTATTATCTCTGAAATATTTAATAATGTAAATCATTTTGGCTGAATGCTTTAAACATCTACTCTTTAAGGAGAAGATATTTGGTGATGGCATGTGCTCGCTCTTTTCTGCAACAATGTTTAGACTATGATTATAATAATGATTTTTATTACCTGATTCCTCTCTCTGGGATTACTGGGATTTGTGCATTGTCTTCGGTCCTTGTCTTACTCTTGTCATTACAGTTGCGATATTTTACACCTGAAGCATTTAAGCCTGTGAAATTGATTTGGACAAGGCTTTGTCATGTTACTCCCTTCCCTTCAAAGCTAAGAACATTCAGCTTTTTAATTGCCTATACAAAATGTGATTCAAACAGAGGAGCTTTCTACTTCAACCAGAGGAGTGGAGTAACAGCTGCCAAAAGACATGTTACAATGACAGTCACCTCCCAGTTGCAAATTGATTTGTTCATGTGAATAGCACTGTCTTACGTATTGTGTAACACTTAAATGTATCATTTGAATACAATGCAGCAACCATAGCAACTAGGCTGTTAGGAGTCCCCAAGTATAGTTACTTTAAGTTGCTAATTTTAACGTGATAAATTGGAAATGACTTGTTTCATGGAGTGTTTTATTTTATTTTTTTTCCCCAATGTGCAGGCTGATCTCTGTGTCCCTCGTTTGAATGAAGGTGACCAGGTTGTACTGATTAACGGCAGGGATATAGCAGAGCATACCCATGATCAAGTTGTTATGTTTATTAAAGCTAGCTGTGAGAGACACTCAGGGGAACTTGTGCTCCTAGTTCGACCCAATGGTGAGTGATTTGTGTATAATACTAATAACTAAAAAAAAAAAAATATCCACACCTTGCTTTCATTTTGTGTCCTGAGATGGAATGCTTAACATCATTGTAAGAAAGAACTCCCTTCCTTGAAAAGAAATTGCAACAACACAATGTATTGTACGAATCTTGATCAATCCCATGCTCTAAGGAGCTGCACATAACTAACTGTTGAAAATTAATAGGAAAGTCAGAGATCAAATACTTCTAAGAGAGCTAATTTAAATTTTGTTCTTACTCTCGTTGATAAAAATGTCCAGAAAGCTATATGGATATTGAATGCAGTTTCTGAGGTTGCGGTTATTCCCTTAAGGAAAATAAAAGCCAAACACAAACAAACAAAAAACCCCTCACCAAACACCCAGTGTTTGGATGACTTTGGAGGTCGATATATGCAAAATCCTTCCATATGTTTTTAAAACAATCCAGAATGACTGGTAACATTTCTCCTTGAGGAGACTTAATAGAAGAAAGTGCTAAAAATGCAGTCTAAATAACAGCTTGTGCAATGTATTAATGAAATATACTGTTGCGGCATTGCCAGCAGATGGTCACTGGATTTAATTCTGCTGCACATCCCAATTATAATACAGTTGCAGAGGAAAAAGCAAAATGAAAAATAATAATGTTTAATTGGTCTAATTGAAATTACTTTAGGATAGTACCTCTGCCACTCATAAACAATTTTTCCTTTACTCACTTATTTGGACTCCCCACTTGCTTGTGCTCTCATTATGTATGTAAGTCCTCTTGCAGTTTTTGTGTGCTTACTTTCTTTTTCAGATAAAATTGTTAGCTTTGTATACAAATTTACTAAAACAGTTTCCCCTTGTGTGTTGATTATCTTTGTATTTTTGATAAAAACATTTGAGTTGAAGTGAGGAGTTGCCAGTTTCCTCCTTCGTGGTCACGGGCTATCATTTAAAAACAGGCTTTCGGACAGCATATGTCTCTCCTGCATATAGTAGAAGATGCGTATTATTTTTCAGCTTATTTATAGGTAAGGCATGCATATAGCATCGATAGCATTATAACGTCATATATTAATGCCCTTTTCTCAGGTGGTCTGCACATCTTGCCCTAATTACTGAAGCCTAAAATCAGTTCAAAGTGAATTAAAAGTAAAAATGCAAATGCAACTATAATGACTTCAGAGGCATGATGTGAGAGTCTGAGATTAGGGAGTTGTATTAGACAAGGTAGGGTGTAACATGAGTTTTGATCAAAATTTTAGCAGTCAGTGATGTGGTTTCACTTAAAATTAATATCAAAACAAAACAATATTGTCATGGATTATAATGATCAGTAAAGGCTATTTGCCCTTGCTGATGGGGACTAAAAGCGGTGTGTTAATAAACGTGGATTTTTCTCCAGGAGAGACACTTGTCTCTTTTTCTGTTTTAAATAAATGACTTAGAGTTAACTTTACTTGCCAAACAGCATGTTCAGTCAGAATGTTCAAACCTCTATTTGTTATAGCTGTCTATGATGTTGTGGAAGAGAAGCTGGAGATCGAGCCTGACTTCCAGTACATCCCTGAGAAATCTCCACTTGATGGTGTCCATCAAGATGATAATGCTCTGAGGGAATCCATGATTCAACTAGCAGAGGGGCTTATCACTGGAACGGTTTTGGCTCAGTTTGATGTGAGTACTGTGTCACCTGTAGCTTTGTGGAAGTTCCAAGTCTTTTGGGATAGTAATTATTTTAAGCAGAGCAGATTTCAGTTAAATTTCAGTAGAGTCAGTATCTTTTAGCAAAACAATTGTCTTACATTCTCAAAAGAAAAATAACAAAAAGAATCCAGTCCTCTATTGTATGTGCAAACTTACAGCATAGAATAATCCTAATACTAGTTTTTAGTGTTGTTTTTTTTAAATAGCTTTATTAATTACTTACAGCTTTTTGTGGTTATCGGGGACCTATGCTAATAAAAACATTTTTATAGAAAAGAAGACTGAAAAATGAATACCAAAATATGTATTCTGTACTCAGACCTCCATTCCATATCTAAGTTACCGTAGAAACTGAATGACAGCTGAGCTGTTGACATTTTATGGACAATCTCAATGAGGGAAGGTAAAATTACCAATGGAAAATACAGCCCCAATCTTAAGGGTTAATGTGACAATGTCTTTTATAAATAGTTGATTTTTTTAATGACATATTTCAAAAGGACAGTGCACTTTCTGTGGGGTCCTAAGCTGCTGTAGTCTTTCTTTAGCGCTAACTTGTGCCTTGATAATATTCCATCTTTAACGCACGAGGTCAAGGGACTTAAAGCAGGAAGCAGTAGGTTTGTAAAACACAGTAGTGTGAATTCTGTGAATTCCCCACCAAATGGAGATCTAGCATTATGTGTTAGAACATATATTTATAAAATATATTAATATACTATTCTTTAAGAACATTGGTAAAATTTACTTTTATATCTAGAAAGAAGAGATTTTCTGAAAGTGATTTAAAATCCCTCCTTAACCACACATTTTCAGTCTTCCAAGCAGGTTCAACATTTAAAAGTTTTTAAAATAATTTTTATTGAACCTGGATCATTTCACTGATACTGTTTGCAGCACAAGGGTTGTGGCAGTGCATGGTTAAGGCATTGAGAGGGCAGAAACCTCTCAAAGGAGATTCTGTGCAGGAAAAGAACGAGGTAGCCCAAGATTCACTCTGCAGTTACTGAAATACGGAAGGACATCTTGGGGGGGGAAAAAAAGTGAAAGAACTGCAGTGTAGGTAGATGCCTATATACAAAACTATCTGCTTGCCCCAAATACCATCAGTATCAGTCAGTTCCCTTACCAGTATACGTTGACTTTTGTCTGGATCAGTGTTCTTAGGGAAGCATGAAATGTAATGTTCAGCTTGTCTTTAAACAAATCGTGATGATGTCTTGATTATTTTCAGTGATTCTAGAGCATAGCTAAATTCATAGTGCTTTCTTTTGAAATACGTTTTTATGTGTACCGAAGCTACTGTTGCTCAGTAGTTTATGTTCTAAAAAATACCTCTAGGCAAATAATATACTAATGGATCTTTTGCATTGATTATGGTCTGACCATTGGTTTTGTCTTTTAGCAATTGTATAGGAAAAAGCCTGGAATGACAATGTCTTGTGCCAGATTACCTCAAAACATTTCCAAAAATAGATACAGAGATATTTCGCCTTGTAAGTATATGTGTTTGTGTATGTGTTCTAAAAGTATTTTACTGTGGTTAGTAAATAAGTAACATCTTTCAAAAAATTTTTTTCAGATGATGCTACACGGGTTATTTTAAAAAGTAATGAAGATTACATCAATGCAAATTATATAAATGTGAGTAGTATTTTTCAAAAGAGCTTCTGACATTAAGTAATTTTGCAGTTTGTCAATGGAGGAGTTGATTTAAAAAAAAAAACCCACAATATTTTCATAAATCTAGTTCAGACTAGAATGGCTGATAAACCTGTAGTCAAATGGTTCAAAATTTACTGTAGGTACACTTATTTGCTAATGCTTTGTGGCAGGTGTTTTTATAAATGAAACCAAGAAAAAGAAAAAAAAAGTTAAGAGAAGCTAGCCCTCTACCAGAGGGATTAATTCTTCTTTTCTGATTACTAATGTGGCAGTAGTGTTCAACATCAGTAAAGTCTAATCTGGCAGCACTTTCTTTTATATTTTTTCTTTGTTATTCATTGTCAATAACAACAAAATTACAGCTACTTACTTTTCCTTTCAGGATCAAAAAACAGAATAAATTAAATTTAAAAAGTCAGTATTTTAAAAGCTAGCATCAGAAACCCATAAAGCATGAAATGTTTGCACCTGAATCATTTGCAAACTGGTCTGTCATTTCTTTTTTTAACCATTAATCTTGATTATGGCAACTATGTAACTGTCAGTTAATTTGTGAAGTGTACCTGGATCTTTGTAATAATTTTGCTTGTGAAACACTGAAGAATTTTTATCTGTGCCAATCGTATTTACCAATTTATAATAGAGTTAATATAGTTGGTGCTCTTAATGTATTAGTTAGTAAAAACTAAATGTCTGATGCTTGACTTATTTTAATTCTTACAGCAAATATAATTACTTTGTCTTCTCTTAGATGGAAATCCCTTCTTCCACAATAATAAACCAGTACATTGCTTGTCAAGGTCCGTTACCGAACACTTGTCCTGATTTTTGGCAGATGACTTGGGAACAAGGCTCATCTATGGTTGTGATGTTAACAACTCAAGTTGAACGGGGCAGAGTAAGTAAAAGATTTCCTTAAATACTATTTGCATAATCCTTTAAAAATCTGTTGGTGATTAGCCTTTAAAAGATTAGAGGAATATACTATTATGACATATAATATGACAAGATGTAATAGTTTTAAACTAAAAGAGGGTAGATTCAGACTAGATAGAAGGAAGAAATTTTTTACGATGAGGGTGACGAAACACTGAAACAGGTTGCCTAGGTGGTAGATGCCCCATCCCTGGAAACATTCAAGGTCAGGTTGGACAGGGCTCTGAGCTACCTGATCTAGTTGAAGATGTCCCTGCTCACTGCAGGAGGATTGGACTAGGTGACCTGTAAAGGTCCCTTCCAACCCAAACTATTCTATGATTCTATGACTTTTTTTTATAAGGGTGGTGCATTCCTAGTACTGTTGCAATAATTACTCTTACATTTTAAACCTTCTGATATTGTTAACATGTAGCTAATATTTAAACTTTGTTCAGTTCTGAAATACATCGAAGTTGTCATGGATTTCTTAAAATATTTTTAGGCTGCTTTGTTTGATTCTTTATTGTAAAGTGAAAAGCAAGTAGAATTTACCTTCATAGGATGTTTTTCTCTAAACTCCAAGAAGTTTTGACAGTTTTTGTAGATTAATTCTTCGATATGTAGAGAGATTCATTTTTTAAGGCAGCCTAACACAGCTTTGTAGTGTTAAGATCCCATGCCTGGATGGCTGTCTTTAAGAGAATCCTTGATAAACTTGAGATCTAAAATTTTTTATAAAGTATTCTTCTGTGACTATAAATATTTGTTTAACCATAGGAAGGAATCATTGTCCTTTAAGTAATTTCCATACAAAAATGTGTAAAAATAGAGTACTAGTAATAAAGTAATTACAGTTATAAATTACTAAAAATAATTGTGTATGGTACTGTAAAAAGCCTGAGGTGTATTTTGTGGTTTGTTTTGGTTTTGTGGGTTTGTTGGTTGTTTTGGTTGGTTTGGTTGTTTTGGTTGGTTTGGTTGGTTGTTTTTAAGCTATAGTTTCTTCTTAATGGCCTTGTTTATTATGGAGCTTTGTCCTTTGGAGACAGGCAAAACAATCAAATCAGGTCATACATGAAGTGTAATTCCAGAGTTACTGCATTTATAGTCTGGAGCATTCACAGTAGCACTGACTGGTTTAGTGTATGGACAGAAATGACAGTCTGGAATACTAGTTTAGCAGAATTTCTCCACATTCAGGATTTCTTTTGAAGATGGATTTATAGTAGGTTGTGGGTGTTCTGATCAACTCAGACTGTAGTTCAGATGTCTGTATATGCTTTAACTTTTTAATAACCTTGTATTTGCTGGGAGGTCAGGCCTCTAAATATAATTAAAATAATTGAAGGGGGGTTGCAGTGTTTTTAAACCCTTTTTCAGTGACTCAATGTTAGCATGATGCTGCCTGCTCCAAAATAAACGTGATTAGAGGGAATTTCAGTACAAGTGCCCTTTTAATTTGAGTTTTCTTTGCAGATCTGCTAAGAACAGACTTGCAATAGCAGTTCTCTGAGGTTCCCCCACCCCTTCAATAATGGTATTTGTGGAGTTCTTTGGAGAGCTGCTTAATAATGAAATAAAAGGACTTATATTGTCTTATACCCATAGGCAGGCTCCCTGCTCTAAAGTTGATCATGAGGCTACTGACATCACTATCCCACTGCATGCCGGGGTGTCTCAGTGGAGCAGGAAGTCTGCAAATCTGGCTGCTCTTAAAGAATCGCCAGGTGGGTTGGAAAAATAAAAGTACACTTGAGCTGAAATGACCTCTGTAATTAGGCATTTAAGCAATATATCTGAAAATCTTAGTGTTAGAAGTTTTCATTCACATTTGATGACTCGATCAAGAGTCTTTGAAGTCCACCATCTGCATCCCCCTAATTTCTGCATTAGTTTAACAACTTTTTTTGTTGCTTATGGCCTTTTTTTTTTCCATTTGTTGTTTTCCCATATAAATGTGCTTTGAGAAGATTAGATGAGAATTTTGGAGGTCAGAAATATTTATAAAGCTTCATCTTTGTCACTCAAGTGTTAAGATGGAATATTTATAGATACACTTTTTTAAAAAAATTGCAATGAAAGTTAAAGGCATCCATCTTCAGTTAAACTAACCTCAAGAGCTGGTGCATGCATCCTCTTGAGAAGAGAACCAGGAAATCTCTGCAATACCGTATTTTATAAACAATAATTAGGTAACACAGTCTATTTGGTAAGTAAATTAATAGTGATTACAAAACTATTAAAATAGTCTTTAATGAACAAAGGTATAAGGTACTAGAGAGAATGAAAATAATTCTCTGTGAATTTAAACACAGGCATCTTAAAAAATGTGTTGACCTTAGGTAAAATGCCATCAGTACTGGCCAGAGCCATCAGGAAGCTCATCATATGGGAATTTCCAGATCACCTGCCATTCAGAAGAAGGAAATCCTGCTTATGTCTTTCGAGAAATGACATTGACTAATCTGGAGGTAAAATCATAATACATGTTTTTAAGTATTAATCTGTGGAATCCTCACAGAGTAGCTAAAACTTACTTAATCAGACTTTCTTTTCAACTTGGTGGCATATCCACATAAATAGAACTGTTTATTTCTTGAAGCCTGTAGAAAACTACTCATATTGCCGTGTCCTTATGTAGTATAAAATCTGTTTTTAGAATGAAAACAAACCTTTCACTAGCAAAATATCACAAAGATTCTATTTCCATAATCATATTAATTGGTTTTAAATTACATAAAAGATGTATTATTTGTCTTAAAAGTCTTTATTGGTGTCTTTCATGCCCTGGCCAAAGAAAAAGAGTAATTAAAGAAGTTGAGAAACTTGTTATTCCCTTGATGTTCTCAAAACATGAGACACTAGAGGTATTTCATTATTGGAACTGAAAAATCAGTCTTTGTAGAGGCAAACAGTTCTTAGTAATTCCATTGTGGAGAGTATGTGCAAGTAGATGGAAGATAAATCCTGCGGAGAGAAAGATGAATTGGGATTGTTTACATGTGGTCACCAAGGACCTTCTTGAACATGCGTTGCATGATTTTCAGGGCACATGTAGTTTTTGGAGCCTCCCCAGCTAGCTTTTCAATCTCATAAATGTTTGGAAATGAGTATATGGAATGTAGTTCACGTACTCATTTCTCACTGCTTGGATTACCAGATGAGATGCCAGTTTTATAGAGCTGCCTTTTAGTCAATTTGCAGTTGAAATTCCTTCCTTGTGTCCTGTTGAGACAATTGCTCATTTGTTATCAGCAGTGGAACCTCTGTAAGTGATTCCACTCCTAAAGGTTATTTAAAGTGCAGTAACTCCTGTTCTTTGAAATGCTGCTTTTACACTGATTGTACAGCCTGTCCCCTCCACTAACCAGAGGCAGATAATGTTTATGATATTAGAAGGAGGGGCAGGAGGGAGTGGAAAACAAAGTTATTCTGCATCTTACATATAGTATGCTGGATAAAATTGAGGTGCAGATAAAGCCAAAACAATGCTGCTGTTCACATGGGGTCTGAAGCAAAGCTTTTATGTCTGAAAGTCCTTCCTCTCCTCTCCTAACCTAGTTCTGTCATCTGATCTGGTAAGATAGTACCTCTTTCTGTTAAATTTGTTTTGCTAAAAACTTGACCACCTTTTTGTACATCTAGTGTTCAGATAGATCATTCGTATCCTTGAACTGCTTTGCTATTACATGCATGTAATTTTTTGAACATGTTGAAGGTGTAAACATGGTGAATTGCCTTTTTTGTGTGTGGTTGTTTGGTTTTTTTTTTTAAAAAAAAGTAATTATAAAATCCAGGATGAGCAATGATTAACAGTTGTTAAAGTGCAGCAAGTTGCCTGAAGCCACTTGTATTATGGGTACGAGTTGCTGTAAATGTACCATTGTTTTTTTTTTTTTAATGGGACCTGAATTACCCTTGAATAAATGTTGTGTTTCTGATTAGAAAGAGGAAAGCCGCCAGCTAACCCAAATCCAGTATATAGCATGGCCTGATCACGGGGTTCCTGATGATTCCAGCGATTTCCTAGATTTTGTGTGTCTTGTGCGAAAGAAGAGGGCTGGAAGAGAAGAACCTGTTGTTGTTCATTGCAGGTATCCATTTTTTTTCTCACTTTATTAAATCACTAAACTGAACTTATTTGTCATCAAATAGCTTTTCTGGACTATGTTGTTGAAGAAATAAACATTTAATTGTGTCTGCTTTGGGGATGACAGGAGAACTCAACATTTAAATTAAACAATTACTTAAAATTATAATCACGTTTCAATAAGCAAAAACTTGAGTATCTCCATGCATTGATCTGTGCAGGGATTTTGTTGGGTTTTGAATTTTTTGTTTTGTTTACAGTTTAAATACTTGTGCTAACAATCTGCATAATAATTCAGGGAAATGGCAAAAGATACTTAGGAACCTTTTCCTCATGGTAACTATTCTGCAAAAGTCCTGAATAGCTGTATAAATAATCCATAGCAGAAGACATGGGTGGTATATGCAATGATCAAATAAAAGATACTTTCTCTCGAATCTGCAGTCTTAGGCTGCATGATATTTTGATACATATATGAAGATGACACATTTTTCTCAACAATTTACTTTTGTCATAAATTAAAATAGCTCTGTTACTCAGATTTTTATGTACACATGAAATGTGGGGTTTTTGTTTTTCTTGTGCAACAGTTTTTAATAGTATTCTGCATTCCTATAGTAAATTTCAAAATCTTAATCCTTTAAAATAGCCAATTAGTAAACTATAATAATACATAATGCCAAATGTCTATACCAATTCTTGGTGAGCAGTTCTGTGAATAAAATTTTCACTCTGAATTCCCGAATACTGCCCAGACAGTCAGTGTTCCTGAGTCAGGTGTGCATTGTTCTAAAATCAATTTAATCTACAAGTAAACTAGACTTTTATTGAAGAAGATGAAAGAAAAATGTTTTATCTTTTTGACACTTGGTGTATCAGAAATTGTACTTAATTGGTTTTGCGCGATCTTCTGCTTTATGCTGGTCAGGGTGAATCTTATTAACTGGGGAAACAGTACCAGAATGCCACTGTCTTAAATGATATTGTTCCTCAACTTCCATTATTGATGTACTTTTGGTTGATATGGTTGTGAACAAATAGTGAAAATACCAGCCAAATAGAACTTCTACAATATAAACTGCGACACTGAACAACAACAATGGAGAGTATGAACAGTTTCATTCATCTCAATAAGGCATCGATTCAGCTCCACGCTAGTAATTTCAATACCAACATTTACAACAGTTTTATGTTTCACAGAAGAGAGGGAATATCACAGTTCAACATAATTAATTGACCTAACTTGGTGGCTGTTGGGAAGTATAACCAAATTCCACTAGCGAGTCAAGCTGAAGGAGCCCAGGGTTTCCCCCATATGTTGCGTGCACACTATTTTTAATGTCTGTTCAGTATAATAGGACAAGGCATTAGTGCAACAAAATGGTGAAACTTGTTTGCAGAACTAAGCCATGAGCTTTAGTGTGGGGAATCCAAGTAGCTAGTAGAGCAGACTTTTCTTTTGTACAATAGTAGTTTAAAAACAAAGCCAAAAAAACCCAGAGAGATTGTAAAGCAACAAAAACCTTAAGAAATTGGAAAGGTTTTTGTTATGTTGAACTACTTAAAACAGTAGTTTCCAAGCTTGTGTTCATGTGTTTGTTTTCATTTTTACAAGGCTCCTACTAGTTTAGTTGAACAGTTTCTAATTCTTGTTCTGGATGCGATGGTGAGCCACTCATCCTGTCCATGCCCTTCATGATTTTCTTGTCCTCTCTGTGTTCCCCTCCATCAGTCAATGAGTTCTTTTTCCAAGCTGAAGAGTCCTAGCCTACCTGATATTTGTCATATGGAAACTATCACACTTTCCATCATTGTTGTTGCCATTCTCTGAATCTTTTGAAGTTTTAAAATGAGTCATTAGGTTCTTTGACAGATACTGTTCATGTTTGGATGTGATAAAGCATTCTGCATATAAATTCTATACATATAAATTCTAAGAAATATTATATAACAAGTATGTTTACATCTTGTCATAAAATTTTCATGACATCACTGAAATATATAGTAGCTTTAATGCCACCTTCTGGGCAAAGATTTAAAGTAGCAGTTTGGCCAGACTTAATTTGAAGTTATACTTCAAAATCAGAATAATTAAGTTTCAAAGTTTGGAATGTTTATATTAACTAATTTAGAAGCAAACACTTTCATTTATTGACTGAAATACTAGTTGTATGTGTTAAGAGAATGCTAGCGTTTGAAAATACAGATTTTGGTTCTATATTAAAATATGGAGAAACATTGGTTTTCTGTTTCAAAAGGGCAACATAATTTTCTTGAAAATGAAAAATATTAATTTGAAACGGATTATCAAGCTCAAGGTTAAATATTTAGTGTTTGAGGATTACTACTTGTGGAAAAGTGTATATATATGTACAACAATGCAGATAAATCTTTAGACATGTTAAACCTCTCTTGTACTTTTTAATACTAAGAAAATTATCATTATTGTCATCTTCCAGAGGTTTCTAGTAATGGTTCTATTCCTTATTCTGAAATATGGAAGTATGGATCACTTCAAGAACATAAACATGGTTTTATCAAATTAGTCCAATAGTCCAGTAACGGTCAAATTGATGCTAGGTATCCCTGTGTTTTGTTATCGTCTAGATACTAGTATGGTTTATAATATGATCTGAATAAATACCTGGTTGTAAATTCTGCTGAAGTGAATGGCTGGGTTAAGACAGTCCCTCTTGAAAGGACTGGCGATTCTGCACTAATTGTTTTTAGCTCTGTTCAGGCAGGATGGAGACTTCCAGTGACACAGACACAGTCTGTCTAAGCCCTGTCCTAATAGTGTGGGAATCATAATGATCAATCTTGAGGATCCTTGTAAAGGAAGGTCTTTAAGTATGAACTGTATTCCAGACGCTTTGTTTCATTTTCCATTGTGGTTTTTTGTTGTTTTTTTCAGTGCTGGGATTGGACGAACAGGAGTTCTTATCACTATGGAGACAGCTATGTGTCTCATTGAGTGCAATCAGCCTGTTTACCCATTAGATATTGTAAGAACTATGAGAGATCAAAGAGCCATGATGATCCAAACTCCTGTGAGTATCATACTTGCTGTTCTATGTTGCAGAAGAATAATTTCCTATTATCTAGTCATATCATTAGACAGTTTTTTAATATACTTGCTGTTGATCATATTGCAAAGAGGTCACCTTTACCCAGTATAGCTGTAGCCTTGGCTCCAGGCAGGAGTAAATTGCTAAGGCTGTTGGAAAGGAGCAATTCTTTAAATTTCTACAAAGAAAACTTGGAAAAAAGCAGCAGCTGTCTCGGGGATACCTGGCAATTAATGTCAAAAAGGGCCTATTTTCAGTAGTGTAAAAATTATTCAGTAGAGAAAGCAGGAGCCAAATTCCAGGTATTAAGAATGGGAGTAGTATAAAAGGTAAACACAGACAGATGCAAGACATGCAAGAAAAACCTTCAGTGATGCAATTCAGTGATTTTATGTTGCCTTAGTTACAACGAAAACAAGCCTTAACTCTGCCCTGTAGTGACTGAATTAAAGGGAAATAATCAGAGAAATAATATTTTTAAGAATCAGTGTAATTAAATCTGATGCGAGATATATCAAAGTGATTTTAAGTGTATTTAGTCTAAAAAAAGTAACTTGCTACCAGGATTCTTTTGCTGCTCTCTTCACATTTCATTTATCTTAAGATGCTAGAATTTTTTCTGGATCTATAATGTTTGGGTTTTTTTGAGATAATTACGATGTTGCTTTAATGTGTTATATTTCAGAATTGTAAAAGGTTTAGAACAGATTTAGAAACTTTTTATCAATCAGGTGTTGTGTATCTCTGAGAGCAGTTTGTGTTTACATTTTTAGAAAATACCTAAAAACGGTCAAAAGATTGAGCTGTGTTTCAAAAAAAAAAAAAGACTTGGACTCTTGGT